GCGCTAATGCGTTTAATGAATGAGCAGATATACGATCCAGATCCGGTGGTACACATGAATTCTATATGCCACTCGATGCTCTTTTTTTACAGGAAGGTAAACGCACCAGCCCTGCGTGCGTTGTACGCATTAACTGCTGCGTGAAATTAGTAACGAATGAGCGCAGATGGTTATGCTGGCGCGAAGATACTGGAATGATCAAATAATTTCTGTTCAACCCCGTGCACACGAGTGATTTTCTCGCGCGTGGTTATCTCGCCACGCCGACTGTCGTGACGACGAAACCGTCACGTCATGTATACGCGAGATTTTATTCATTAAGACGCAACATCAACATCATACAATAAACGATGAACGATGCGATAAACGGCAAATTGTAAGCCAAACGCGGAAATTGACCACATAACTGAATTTATCATATCTCAATTGGAACAAGCTTCCTGAAGTATAAACGTATTTGCCATGTGGTGGCAATGGTCACGCATGGCAAATCATAGCGTGTGTTTTGCACGACAGACTTGCAGTCCAAAGCATCTCCATGAAAGTGTACGTGTCGTGCGCGCATATATACTTCGTATATTTTATAATTATACAAAGTATATTTTATCATATATGTTTAGGCGGTCGACGGACGCGTGCAATGACCGCGTGAATTCAGTTTTTTCACGATTTCTTGTGCAAGATGCAAGGAACTGTGCTAATCTGGAAAGTAAAAATCTATTGAATTTACTCCAATTTGGTCTGATTGCTCGTAATCACGGTAGACTATCGTATTGTCAGATAATGTTATCTGAAAGGATAAGGTTCTAGAAATTCAAAGATTTAATAATCTCGCAAGAGCGAAACTTATTTGAACGACTCACAACCCGCCCGAAATTCGTAATTAATTAATAAGTCAAATGACTCATATAATTCTGAATTTTGATTTGAAGCGCGTTACATCTCCGGATATGTGAAACTTTTTTCAATTTCACGTTCTCTCATTCACGCCTCGATTAACAACGAGTGTACATCTCGCCTAGCAGCGCGGATCGAAGCACGACGAAGGTGCACACGAAAAACATATATAGTGTCGAGAAGGAAGAAAGGTGGGGCGGTTGAATAGCAGAAGAGAAGAAGAGAAGGAAGAAAGAAGCGGAGTAGTCCAGGAAGCTCTTACCTCCTCGGCGTGCAACGATCTCTTTACGGGCAAGCAATTTTTACGACGGAACCACCCGGCCGGGCCGAAGCAACACGCAAGGTGACGAGGTGGTTTCGACATGTAACGCGACGATATTCGTATTCTTCCTCCGGAAAGTGACTCGTTAAGACTTTAACAGCTATCAACACGCAAGCAAGATCATTTTCAGCCAGTGATCACCGAAACAACAAATCGCAAAAGCTATCCATTTAAGCTTAATCTACAATATGCTCTTTGCGTTCTGTTTCTTGTCTTCTATCTTTTTCTGACTTAAAGTTTAAGGTTTGAGTCAGAAAGATATAAAGAGAAAGAAGCAGGAAGCAAAGAGCATATTGTAGATCAGGCTTTACGCTTCGAAAACTGTGTGTTCCAACTCTCTCTTCCTCTCATATTTATCGTATTTATAAAATTTTATAGTGGTATTACTTATGTCTTGTCGTGCATAATTTATAAAAGAATCTATAAAGACTGTTGCAATTTGTGTTCATCGTAGATTCTTCATTTTCAGAAAAAAGCCATCTTCTTAGTCATCTGTTGCATGTGACACAGACCTTTCGGTTGTTTCGATAATTTGATCAAGAGTTGTCTTGGAGAGACATTTTCTGTCAACAAGAACAGCCCACCTGACAGATATTCGATAATTTACACATCATTCTTCATCATTCAATTTTGAATGAGCATTACGGTAAGGCCGAATTCAGTGCACAACACTCTCGACTAATAACAGTCGATCGTCGAAGCACGCGAACACGCGTGGATACGAAGCGACAAGATAAGGATTTAGGCTAAAATCGTGTCGTGACGGGATGTCTGTGCTATTCCATCCTTGGTGGCAGCTTCATATGACAGCGTCGCGCCGTCATGTGCGCGCACTCACGCACGCTCGCACACGTGCGCACTTCTCGACGTGACTCGCGTGCACGACAGCGCACGACATGCGTGCGCGTGTGTACATCTCTCGCAACATCGTGTCCTCCAAACGGAAACCGCAGATCTTATAAAAAACATATCAAGTACTAAAAATAGGACGCACTTAATATAATAGGACACATAAACTTTCAACGCGAAACAATGTACTCAGTTTCAAGTAAAATAAGTAAAGCGAATAAATCAAATGAGGCAAAGAGTCACAGAGTCCATTAATTATGATTGAAAGTAGAATTGGGGATCCATGAATAAATGCACGACTTAACGAATTGTCCTTCGAGAGAGATGAAATAAATTCTGTGACATATTTATTTATTTATTTATTTATACTCTCTCTATTATGCCGTTGAGCTCACATCGTTTGTTTAACGAACCGAATCACCGAATGTGACGAGTGCTGGCTAATTTAGTTTCTCAAGCTGCGTGCACGCGATTCTCGTCCTTCTTCCTTCCTCGCCTTCGGATGCTACGAGTACATGCCCGATAAAACCAGCTGCTTATCCCAGGATCTCGGGTTCACCCTCTAAGATCGGCTAATGCGATTTTGGAGGCACACAGCGCGAGAAAGGAGAGATGAAGAGAAGCAGTTCCCGAAATTGCGACGGAACCAGCGGGCGAGTTATGTTCGCTCGCGACGATTTCGAGACGATAACGCATTAAAGAGACACCGGTGAAGCCACATAATTGATGAGCTCGTGGCTTGACGACGCCGCAACGGCGGACACCAAAATTAAATCTATATAATGTAGGGAAGAATCTAACACGTTCTACCTCCGGTTGTCATAACTTATAAATAGCTAAGAATCTTCATACGATATGTTTGTTACACAAGGATCGTTTTATTTGTGCCAATTTATGCCTACTGAGTACTAGGAATAAGCCTTAAGAGGAAAATGGGCGAACCGTCGTTCTGAATTTGCGAATTATGTCTTTCGTTAAGTCTAATGAACTTTGCAAAGTGTTATCGAACATAAATTGGAACTAAATTAATTAACGGAACTCATCCTGTCTCTTAAGTAGCACGTCTCTTTATTATCCTGACTTATCGTAATTCTATCAGGAAATGTGCTCAAGCGACGATGATCAAAATTAATTTACGAATTCGGGACATGGTCATAGAATAGTTATTTCGAATAAATAACATTTTCTTAACCACTTCTCCTTACACAATTCCCAGAAGACTTCTTAATTTAAATGAAAACTCGAGTCAGTCGAGAGAAATCACTACTCGACCGGTTAGAACAATCTGAAAACTCGATGAGTTGCCAATAGTTGACGTCACCGAAGAAATCATTCAAAAACAATGATTGAATGCACGTGGAATGACGTCGGCGCGATGCATGTGTCCGTCGCTCGCAAAATGCAGATAGACGGTGATTTACTTATCAACAATCGACGCTCCGCCGGAGGTAAATGGTCGAGTCGTGACCATTAGTCCGTGGATCATGTACGTATGGGCCGGTCCATACCTACGAAGCAACAAGGTACGCGAATCGACACCGTGTGAGGCCCGGCGAGGCCCAACACGACGTCAAGTCATCCCCTACAACTCTACAATGAAACACAGCGACGTGTTTCGAGCAGCACTCGATATATTATAGGCAAAGTGCACAAACTATTTACTCGATCCTCGTTTTTTCTCACATTCAGTTATCTACCACCTTCTTGGGAAATTGGCAGCTGTTAATTTTATTATAAAGAACTCCTACGAATTTAGTTAAATCTAATTAGGACTATCTGACTATCTTTTTTAGGAATATCTGACTATCTTGTTTTCTCTCACTCCCTTTTTACGGACAGAAAGAAAAACATGATATATATTTTGTAAATATACTTGAAAATTAAAATATTACGGACGTTCAGGAAATTATATATTCTCGGAGCAAAACAAAAAAGAATACACTCGAGAAAGAATTCCTTCAAAGATTGCACCGTGCGTTAGCCTACGTAATGCGGCTCTATCAGCGCAATTTGTAGCTATTTGCGGGCACTTGTAACGACCAAAATCGCGAGCGTATACGGAGAAACTTGCAAGTTACGCAAGAGACGACGCATTTTCAAAGTGGCTCTTCAAATCGGCCCTGGAATCGCAGAAATTACTTCGCGCTTGACTTGCTCGCGTGAGCAGTGGGACTATTCTCGGTGGTTCGTAACAAGCCGCAGCCTCGCATCGCATTGAACTAGAACGAAATAGAACGAAACTGCTGAATATAGCCATGAACATCGATAAGATCGTTCGCAAGAAGTACCAGGAACTTTCATGAAGTGTTAATGCTACCGTACGGATGTACTAAATGATCTTCGAATTAAGAAGATTATTCTTAAAGCTTCAAATCCAACCATAACTCCAGCTTAAATAGTGCAACTTCATATCACCTTTCGATATTTCAAGTACTAATTAGATTATGCACACTTCTCATTTATTAAAAATCAGTTATATCGATTTCGCTTAGGATTTAACTTTGCGTTAATTCTCCGTCTCCGTTTACGTCGTAGGCATGAGTATGATCTAGAGAGCTAAGCAGTAACGCGAACTTACTTAATCGAGGTTGTTTAAGCGAATCTAAGCTGTATTCACTCTAATGCTGTTAGTGTAAAATGGACGATTTTTATATCTGAATAATTAGCCAATACTACCCGAAATAATCGTGTACCTAAGTACTTGGAATCAGCAATCACAGGTGATATCCATTTGCCATCGGTTATTGATTTGCGCAGCAGGTAATGTTTGCTTTTCTAAGGTACCATGTCACTCGAATCGTTCAAATACTCGTATAATTTGCGAAAGAAATAAAGATGGCCGCGTGGCCTTGGTACTCAGGAAATACCAAAAAGACTCGTATATCCAGATGGTACCTGAATACCCAGACAGTGAAATCACTAAGCCACTCACCGATAGTAGTCCTTCTTGCAATAGATGTTCCCGTCTCTGCTGAAGCAGGTGCTTTCTCCGTCGAGACCCTGACGACAATGTGAACACTGGAGACACGCGGCATGCCACCTCCTGTCGACGGCCTGAAGATAGAATCTGTCGGATATCCTGAGGCCACACCCCGCGCAAACCACTCCAGGAATGTCCTCGGATTGTGCGGGTGGTGTAGGCGGTGGTTCCAATTTCGGGACTGCGTGCAAGTGTTCCGTCGTGGTTTGTTGCTCCTGTGAGTGCGTTTGCGAGTGTAAATGGGGGTGATGATGATGGTGATGATGCAGATGGTGATGATGCGTGGTCTGCGACGGCATACTTAGGTCACTGGCATTTTCGAAGTTTCCACCTCCCCTGTACTCCTGTGCACCTGCTAAGAAGAATATTTCGTCTTTTATTTATATACTCACTTATAATTAATATCGTTAGCCGCTTATCAGCTTCGAAAACTTCAACAACTTCAAAGTAACTCAGAATGATTTAAAAAGTTTCCAAGAGAGAGAGAGAGAGAGGAAGTAAAGTATCAAAACAAAAATTTCAAAGATTGCATTTTTCTTTTTATCAATAAATTCTGCAAATTATCCTTAATGGATTCTAACATCCCTTAACCTCCTCTGATAGATAAAAGAACGGTACCTCCGGGAGAATCGTAGTCTCTCGAGTCGTAAGGGGTGGTCGATCTATCGTAACAGTTGTTATTGGTACCACAGTGAGTCTGATGCAGGGGCGTATGATGGGGCCCATGATGATGGGCGGCAGGAGGGCTGCATGGTAGAGTAGTGGGTCGCGCAGCATCGCCCATCGACGCGGGAAGGCAAGGACTTAGGTCCCGCGCCTGGTCCACTGCTCCGGGCCCCCCCGCGCTACCAGGCCCCCCTTGGCGCCCCACAGCCAAGCCGCTGCCACGCTCCTGCGAGCTGGGCGGCTGCTGGAACAAATCGATGTATCGACACTTTAGTTAGCGTATCAAATCGGCAGTGCTCGCGTTTATTTGTCTTGCTAGACGAAGCTGGGCGGTACTAACATGTTACACAAACGTAAACATTCTTCATATTACATTCAGCGAACAATACACGTTAACCATGACTTGTCATTCTCCTTGTAGTTGATGGTAAGCTAAGAGCTCGCCTCTATGTGTACGAGTGTTTGCAATATTTCTCACAAATTTGCGAACATAATGATTCATATCATTGTTATTACTAAAAGCACCTTGCGGCTCCGTATATATGCATATTTGAAATGGGTATTCAAAAAATAACCATGAGAGGAGATTGGAAATCGATAAATACATCACTAGCGGAAAAGGTACACGTCAATAGCGACGAAAACAGGTAGAAAGAAAAAGAACAGGTGGAAATTCAGAGAAATTTAAGGAGCATCGGAATGCTGTGTATAGACGAGGCTGAAAATATTGCCAAAGCCAAATGCGAAAAAAACCAATCGTGCATATGACACCAATAGAGCGAAAGAGAGAAATGGGAAAAGTGAAGAGGGCAAGAAGGACCGAGATATCGTAAAAGATCAGAGAAGCGAAGGTGTAACCAGGAGAGATGCGAGACAACTAACAGGACAAAAATACCAAGACGACTAAGGAGGAAACCAGAAAGACGAAGAAAAGTAAACGAAGAGAACGAAAAGGATCAACTGAGAACGGAAGAAAAGAAGATGAGATACAGGTAAGAGGCCAGAAGGAAAGACAGAGAGCATCGAGAAGACAAGGAGGACCGATCGGACAAAGCTCACGGGCAATAGAGGCGAAGTGACGACGGGTTGCAACCGCCGCTGTCAGTAGAGGGAAGAAACGTGCAGGGAGAAAGAGTGGCACACCAGCGACGGTAGCCGGTCGCCTCTGATGGATGTTGCAAGACACAGTGCGCGCGTTCGTGCGTTCGCGCGCATGTGCGCGACCCTATAAGGCGCCCGGAGGCGACCAATCCGAGCCACCGTCGTGTTTCAACTGTCAACGCGCTCGCCGCTGCTGCATAGACATAAATTACAGCAAGAGCTGCCCTCTTGTCGTCTCTCCTTCCCCCTCTTTCTCTCTCTCTCTCTCACTCTCTTCCTCTCTTTCTCGGTTTTGCAGGATTACTTCGACCGGTTTCAGAGGGGTGGTGTCGATTGAATTGACGCACAGTCAGTCAACGGTATACTACTTTATACCACAAATTTGTAAAAGTTCCTTCAAATTTTGGAAAATTTCAAAATTTTCTTGAGTTTGTCAAAAACGAAGAATACCCACAAACCTTTATAAAGTGTCAAACCTTTCCAAACATTTCCCCGAATTTGACCATATATTTCCCCAAAGTTTATTGCATGTTTTATATATATATATATATATATATATATATATATATATATATATATATTGCATATGTGCATATTGCACTCAAATCTCACGAAAACAGCCTCCTATCACGAGTAGACAATTAAAGTTAGAGAAAACCAGCGACAGCAAGCGGTAAAAATTCGTAGAACGATCATATCGGCTAGTCGCCACGCGGAACGTGATCGGAATCGTTAACCCTAACTTAATCGGTGACTTTGTTCCAGCGGGCTTTCGCGACGCGACGTAATCTTTACGTGTATGTTGTTGATCCTTATATAACGGATCGTATAGGCAAAGGTATCATAGGAATGCGCGTTCCTCAAAGTATCTCCCGCATTGTCCTGCTCCATAATGAACCACCATCGCGTGCGGTAATAGGCTCATTAAACCGCGGGCGACGTCGCGAATATTTACGAATCGGAATTGTCTGTAATTTTGCGGAAATTCTAATTCAGCTTATCTTGCACAGAAATAAATTTAGCTGCATCATGACTCATTGCTAACCTATGATGTTATTGGCTGACTGACAAGATAACGAAATTCGCACTTGACAATCACGTACGACATTGCAAGTTTATTTGCAAATCGGCTTGATTAACATTTTTTTAAACATTCACTTCGAAATGATCTTTGAACCCAAAGTATTGAATAAAATCGACCGCGATTCATTTCAGCGAGTCGCTGGAACAATACGAGGCAAGATGGATGATGCGATCGGTCGTCGATAAATTTCTCACGAAAGCGGCGAGCGAGCGCGATCGATCCTCAAGATCCTTATCCATCTCAAGAACGGTCCGGCAACGAGCTCTCGCAGATTGCAAAGAGACTTTCACCGGCGGCAAAGCTTGCACAAGAGTGTGTGCCCGCCTTCCATCTTTTTTCTTCCCTCCTCTCATTTTCGCGAAACCGCGGAGTAAATAACGAGCGCGGAATCCACGGTCATAAGATGCCGGCACGGAAACGAGTAGAATGTCGCCAGAAATGTCACTCGGCTGCTGGCAGAAACCGTGTCCTGTCTCTTACCTGAACGAATTTGTTTGTTTCCTTTTTTTGTGTGTATTCGCAACGATGCAAGTGCTATCTCACGATTGCGACGCGATAACTGAAGAGAAACCAAAAAAAGAAATGCGGAAAGTGCTATCGATGTTAAGATTTTACAATTTAAAAAAGGAAAGATAAATGAGTTGAACATTAGTGGTATCCATATCTGATTATCCAAATACTCTAGTGATATACAAATGCCTGAGTCTTTCAGGTATTGCCCAGCTATTTTACAAATTTCCTGCGTATAGTGATTTTGGGCTGCAAATGCTCGGTTATCTTGAACAACATCTGAATATTAAGGTAATACTCGCGATGTGGAATACTAGCTAAATATCTCAGTACCCACATAATAATAACAATTATCCCTATATCAATACTTATAATAATTACTTGATTTATATTGACAATATTGCTTAACATACATGCATACATATATACGTACATATATATATATAATACGTACACACATATATATAAAACAGGTTGAGGTGAACATAAAAGTCCTATACCGTTTTGCGATATTCGCAATAATTATCGAGATATTAATTGTAGAAAACTTGTAAATGATCATGCAGAATATGGTAAATGAGTTATAGTAGCGATGACTGCCGTCGTGTACTTATACTTTAGGTCAAATTGCACAAAAAAGTCCTCTTCTATTTTTCAAATAATCACATAGATTTTTAATTAATAATTAAAGAAGATTATTGCACGATTTTGCGTGATAATGCACTCATCTTCTTTAATTAACAATTAAAAATCTATGTGATTATTTGCAAAATAGTAAAGGACTTTTTTGTTCAATTTGACCTAAAATATAAGTACACTACGGCAGTCGTCGCTATTATAATTCATTTGCCATATCCTGCGTGATCATTCATAGATTTTCTACAATTAATATCTCGATAATTATTGCGAATATCGCAAAACGGCATAGGACTTTTATGTTCACCTCAACCTGTTCTAGGTCCTCACAAAATGCCCGGAGGAGAGTGTGAGACACCCTGTATAATATGCAATAGTGTAACTTTAGAACGTACTATGTGAGAACTTAAATCATTTATTTTTAAAAATTTATTTAAAATTTATTTAAAATTTATGTGTGTTTCTTATAATGTTTATGATCCACATTTTACACATATTCCAATAATGTGTGGTAATAAATTGCATAATTTATTCTAGTTCGTCTAAGTAAAATAATACTCTAACAAAACTAAATATAAAATTATTAGAGTACTGTAATTCTGATTAAAAGTTCGTCCAATAGTCTTCAGATATCTAATAATAAATTCAACGATGTTAACAAACATTACGCAGTAGAACGTTTGAAAAATAGATTTGTCGTACACGACGTGAATAGTAATTTGTTTGAAAATGCGAGGCCGAACACAGTCCGACCACGGAAAAGCATGCACGATAACCTTACGTCACGACCCACCGAGATACAGCGTTATCGCAGTAAATTGTAACTTGGTTCTCTTTTTCAACGCTCAGCCCGAAGAAGAAGCCCGGCTGACTACGACTGAGTCAGCGAAATTTCTTTCAGCATCCACGACGACGTATAAAAAATTATCGGGATAGCTCGTCCTCGATATCAGCAACGCAGCAACGTCGCCGTTGTCATCAGGACTGATATAGTTCTCTAACGCCTTAACATGTACTTCTATATAACATACTATACCTTAAAAATAACGTCTTTTAACGTCTGCGCGCTCGAAAAGAGCACGCATAGAAAGATCTACCTTAAAAAGATGTAAGACAAGCGAAAGCAAGTGGCACTAGGCCCCTTCGGCAAGCGTTCTCCGCAAAAACCGGTAACCATCCTCGGGGAAAGTGTTAAAACTGGAAGTGCATGACGTCTTTCAGTTTGGTAGTCCTCGATGGCGCGGCTCATATACTCGCGAAGTGGCACGTGTGCTGATGGCGTGCGTATCAGCTTCCCTTGCTCGGCCAACGATAGCGATAACAATAAACAGCCTCGTCCGTCGCGGCGGCCACGGTTTTTCTCTCTCTCTTTCTCTTACTCACGAAACGCGTGGGCGACGTTTAACACCACGGAGAGCCGATAAACTGCCCGGCTATCTGCACTTCTCCTCGTCCCCGTTGCGGGCTACCAATCGGTTAGGTCGGAGAGAGCGTCGCGCAGCCAGAAATATTGGATAGCGCGCTACCGTGCCGTCGGATATATAGGGTGTCAGAGTATGGTATGCCGTATGATCTCTTGGCCACTCAAAAGCACTAGATATTAAAGAAAATGCTGATTATCTCAGATATCGATCAATTACCAAATTAACATTCGCATCAATCATTTATGCAGCAGGCAAATTTCGCAAGTCGAATTCCTACGTTTTATAGCGCCGGCAAGATATGCGAAAACTAACTCTGTCAGTATAAACTAAGTAGTTGCTACACTTGAGTACCCTGGTATTTATTTGAATTCACGGATACTACATAGATTTATTCGGATATCTCACACTTCATAAATGCAGTCCCAATTCTCTAGCATAGTGTCATTGAAATTTTCGACACGTTATATATAAAATATTCGTGCATCATGA